CAATGGACCTCTCTTGGAAATTAAATATATGGTAATAAAAGCTTAAAATTGGAATGAATGGTTGGGAAGTAGAATAACTATCTCAGAAAATAGAACAGAAATGGAAAGAGATGAAAAATAAAAGGAAATTAAAGTATGTTTTCAGAAGAAGGAAGAAATGGTTGAAGACACAACACAAGAAAGTATACTAGAACTTTACAGCATGAATTCTCAAGCTGACAGGGCTCACTGAGTTCCCAACGCAATTACTAATAAGAACTTTGGTAGAGCACATCATCATGAAATATAAATACATCAGCAACAAAGAGAATATAATAGCCACCAGAGAGAAAAAGGATTATGTTTAAACAATTGACAGTCAGAGTGCCCTTATTTTCTCAAGCATAGAGACAAAAAAAAAAACTTATAAAATACTGAGGAAAAACAATTTTCAACTTGGAATTTTATACCTAAATGTCTTAGTTACTTTCTTCATTGCTGAGAGAAAACACCTGACACCCAAAGTTAAAGAGGAAAAGATTTATTTAGCTCACAGTTTGTAGAGGTTTCAGTCCATAATCAGCCGACTGTAAGGCAGGGTGGCTTGCAGATTACAGTTCATGGCAGGTAGAACACCAAAGCAACAAGGCAGAAGGGGGCACACAAGAACCTTTCTGTCCCTTGTACTTCATGCAGGTTACCTACCCTAGGGTGGGTGTAGCACTTATACCCTTAATCCTAGACAAGACTATGCCAAACCAATCAGTGAAGTGATTTACTAATCACACACCATTAATCCTAACATCATACACTCTAGATTCAGCCACCTCTGGAAAAGCCCTATGATCACATGAGATCTAGGGGAGACATCTAGACACAAACCATAACACTAAACAAACTAGCAATCAAAGGTGGAGTGTACGGCAAATACACAGTTCAACCATCTTTCTTAGAGAAATCTGTTTTCTTTGAACCGCCCATGTGTGTAGTTACGAATATTTACTTGTTATCCTGTGCAGGTAACAGTGGCCCTGTGTCAAAGTCTATCTCAATGAGATCTATGAGAAAGTCATTAAAAGGCTAATGAAAGTATTATTTTCCTAATAAAAATGGAATTGGCTGGTTCTGCCTTTTACTTTTACTGCCCTAATACTACCAGGAATGCAGATATGATACCAAAAAGTGCAGTAGCCATCATGAGGTTATAAGGTACTAAGATTAAATGCAAAAGTCAATATCTAGATGTGCCCAACAAAAGAAAGCATTGTGTCTCTGATGACATCACTGACCTGCTATACCAGTAAAACTGGCTACTATACTGCTTACATCATTATTGCTTATTGTAGAAGGAAAAAAATTCTGTTCCCTGAAGTCTCAACAGTGCCAGTATTTTTCAAAAGTCCAAGTCAAAGTCTCTTCAGAGACCCAAGGCAAACTCTTAACTATGAACCTCTATACAAATCAAAAATGAGTTACATAATCCCAAGGTACAATGGCACAAGGTAAACATTCCCATTCCAGGAGGAAGGAATATGGGGAATAAACAAAAATTGGGCCAAAGCAAGACAGAAATCCAGCAAGGCAAAAATTAAGTCCTAGAGCTCCCTGTCCAACCTCTGGGACTGGCTGTGGTGAGCTGTGGGTTTCAAAGGGCTTGGGTAACCCCTTCTTTACTGCATTACCAGTTGTGGCCATTATGGCTTCCTTCACCACCTACAGCTTTCCTCAGCAGAAACCACTTGCCATCACAAATGGTTGCTGTTACCTGCTTAGGTAACACTTTTGACCAATTGGTTATGAATCAGGGATTCCGTGATTCCTTCCTCAGATCAAATTAATTTGTTAGAACAGTTCACAAAAGTCAGAGAAACATTTGTGTTTGCTGATTTATTATACTAATAAAGAGAATAATGAGATGCAGATGAGCATCCAAATGGAAGAGGTGCATAGAGCAAAGAATACCAGAGGGGTGTGAAGCTTCCATGCCAGCTCCCGGTGTGCCACCCCTCATCACCTTTTACATGTTCAGCAATCTAAAAACTCCCAAACTCCAACATTTTGAATTTTTATGGGGGCTACATTGCATAGATATGATTACATCACCAGCCATTTATGATCAATTTAACCTTTAGCTCTTCTTCCCTCCCCTGAGGTTGAGGTGGTAGGGCCAGCAGCTTCAACTCTCTACTCATGCATTGGTTGTTCTGATGGCCAGCTACCATCCTGAAACTACGAGATTTCATTAATACACAAGTCACCCATCAGTCTAAAGATTTCAAGGACTTTAGGAGCTATATGCTAGGCAGAGGCCAAATATACAGTCCTTACTATATAATAGTTCAGTGTATAATAGCTCCTTATTATATCACAGTTCAATACACAAAATCAAAGTGAACAGTCAAAATAAAGGCAGCTATTAATTTCAGAGAAATTAAAAGTTACAAAATAGAATCATAGAACACTGCATGGCTCAACTGCGCAAAACCACTGCAAAGTCTTTATGATGCAAACGGAACTTTTTTTAAAATTATGGCAATACTCTACTGGGAAGTTAGAAGTTAGTGTCTCTAGTAAACAAGGTAGAAAGTTGTAAGGTTAGAGAGGAAAACAGTAAGTTAAATAGGGTTTAATTTTCTTCCCTACGGGCAATACAAAGCCTTGGGAGAGTTTTAAATGAAAATTTGCGTGATCTAATTCATGACTGAAAATAATGACTTTGGCTATAATGCTGAGGGGAACACAGAGATGAGGGGGAAGGCCAGTAGACTAGCTGGGAGGCCACTCTAGTACAAATGAGTTTTTTGCATTCAGGATTTTATAAAAGCAGTCTGGATTGGGGAAAGTGCACTTTGAGATGGGAGGATATTGTTAGATAAAATATAGCCTGAAGGCTGGTGGTTTATGAAGTGAAAGGGGAGATTCAAGGCTGACTTCCCAAGTGTTACATGAGGCATCTGGAGAAGACAGAGGCTGTGCCTCCTCAGCTGGGGAAGAAATGATTTGGGAGTGGAAAGTTTGGGATCCCCAGTTCTGTTTTGGACACGTTAGGACTGAGTTGCCACAGAAGGTTCCACGTGGGTAATTGTGCAGACCCTAGGTAACAAACTAGGCTGGAAACAAATCCCTCATCAAGCAGCAATTCCTCTTTTTCTCTTGACAACATAAAGAAATGTTTTGCTATATGCTTGGATTTCTAATCAACCTCAGTGGCGTGATTTGGGACACAACCTAAGATTTGATACTGAGAATCCAAGGGTAAACAAGCAATGCACTGTGGAATGTCACAATATAATAAGCCATTCAAAGTGTTTAAGCCTAACTAGTTTTCTATCTGGACTCATATCTATCCTAAGGAAAAACTCTGTCTACCAAAGCTGTGGCCATAAAATAAAACCCCCGTGAAATAGTTTCCCATGATTATTTTGATTTTTCCTAGCTTAAAAGGCTTCTGTTTGTATGTATGAAGTATGTGCCAAGTTAAAGACCTCCTGCACACTTTGAAACTTCAATTTTTTACAGTTCATTTGCAACAAACATTTAAAAAGGATGAATTTGTACAAGAGCCTTTAAAAGCACTTTTTATTATTATTTTCATTTTTAGGTCATAGAGCTAAATATGCTTTCCCGGTTTTCTCACTAATTCTTCCTCGATTTGTGCAATCCACCTATTAACTATTTTTTTTTGGTTTGTTTTTGGTTTTTGGTTTTCTTCCGGTATCAGGAATCGAACTCATGACCTTGCGCTTGCCAGGCAGGCGCTGTGCTGCTGAGCCAAATCCCCAGCCCCCATCTATTAACTATTAATTCCCAGATTCTTTATTACCGCGTGGATTTTTACAAGCACTGGGATGTAGGCATATTACAGTAGGCATGATGGGGGTGAGGAAGCATCAATGGTAACTGCAAAATAAAAAGCACCATAAAATGGTAAGGGTTTGACATTGAGGCTAGTTGTTAAAAAATAAATGTTTGTCCTATAGAATCAGAGAAATTTAGTTTGAGGCCAAGGTCAATCTTTCATTGCTGGGCCGACAGTGCCCCTAGTGGCAGAAAGGACGCGGCAGAGGCGACAACCGGGGAAAAGCTGAATTTTTAAAAAGGCACCTGCTGGGTGAGTCTTTATCATGCAAACAGAACCCACAGGTGCCCTCTTTTAAGAGGATTCAGCTCGGGAAACTCCAAGTCGGTAAAACAAGTATAATATAGGCACTTTAGTTTCACTCCGAAATGAGTTCTTGCTTTACACGAAGTTGATATGACTGATTATTTACCTCCAAGAATCTCCGTGTCTAGCGGCAGAGAATTCTACTCAAGTTCGGAAGTTACTGACGATTACAGAGTGGCCCGAAAAGTGGGTGATGGCGAACTAGGTAACAGAGTTTTTAAAAAAGCGAGGGAGAGCGAGACCGCGCCGCGCGCAGCAAGCACACCTGCGGGGAGAACTGGCTCACATGCGCGGCTACTGCGCGTCCCCCAAGCGCATCAGAGCCGGACGCAGAGGGTGGAAAGAGACCCCAGTGGAGGGTTGGCCCCGAGGCTGTGATGGGGATTCACTACGGTGCAGGGTCAGTAAGAGGACCCACACGCACCATTCCGGGCGACACGTGAAACTGTCAAAGACACTGTGGGACCTTTAGCAGAGCTAACCCAAGGAGGCAGGGGCGAGGGAGCATCCCCGAGGCTGTGCCATCCGAGCCAGGCGCTGACTGCCTCAGGGCCCCGAGCCAAGTGGTCCCCTGCCCCCGGGAAGTGGCACCTGGACGGGGATCCTTCTCGCGGCTCAGGGAGCTCGAGCCTGGAGGCTCCGCGACGCGCCCTGTGCGCCGCCTCCCGGGGCAGCCCTGGCACTCGCAGCCCAGCGCAGCGCGAGGCGCCC